GACGCGCTGCTGCCGCTGCGTGCAGGCAGCGCGGCCACGACCGGCCCTTGTCGGCCGTCCGGCGATTTCTTCCGACCGAATCAACATAAAACAATATGATACTACATGATATGATCATAACTACTAAATCTCCTGAACTTGAACAAGATAACATGAACTTTTGGCTTAACGACCCATCGCGACCGATGGCGTGCGCACCGTGCGCCGCCTATGGCGTTAAGTCATTTCTCGATCGAACGTGAATCTTCTCCCGACAACCTCAACCAACTGAGCTCAAAATGACATAACATGATCAAAATAACATGATTTATTCGGGAGATTACTAACATGTATGATCATAACTCGATAGAACACGAAATGGCCTGTGGCGTGCGCTACGTGCGCAGCCCACATTCCTCGGCCAATCCTTCGACAAAACTAAGACTTCCCTCGAGTAATTTGACTTTTTTGAACATAAAATAGCATATAATTACCGAATATGAAATTTTCTCGAGGGTTTTGAAATCAATTCGAACATCACTTGATCATGGCTTAAAAGGCATAAAAAAACGAACCTAACTTGATTTACATGAACCGAAGGCTATGAGCTGAACATTGACATCCTAAATGATCATATTAGCTTAGAAAGAGGATGAACAGAAGTTACCTCCTTGAACCCTTGGCTGATCGCACCAGCGGATCGTGATCACTCGGAGCTTGCCCTCTGTGCGTGTGTACGGCTAGACTTTGTCGTGTGCAGTACTCTCTTCAGCCCTCCTCACTCTCTTCTTAAACTTAATTTAGGATTGATATACAAGCTAAACTTTAACTTAAAGTGTTTGGAATAATTTCCCAAACTCTTGTCTTATAATATGGCCGAACCAAAGTTGAGGAGGTGGGAAGAATATTTAAGCCAATAATCTTGCTCCATATGCCATGCTTAGGCTTAATTTAAGCAAATTAATAGATTAGTCATCACCTTAACAAGCTTAATCACAATATTAGGTGACACCTCATGCTTAAGTAAATGGTGAATAATCCATGAATTTTCCAAACAATTGCTCACGGCAAATTAAGGAATTTGGAACATGATTATGCTTTACTTAAGCTCAATTACATGCTTTAAAATTCATGTTAATTTCCATGAAATTTTCCCCAATCCTCACGGCATTAAGATGAAAATTGAACATGATTTGGGCATTTAATGGCTTAAGCATGATTGTGGAATTAATTAAGCACAATTAAGATGCTTAATTACTTATTAATACATGATTTATTTGATTAAGCTTAGTACTTAAATACAAAAATTAATCCGAACGTGAGCGTGACTTCGAAAATAATTTCGAAGAATCTTGACTGAAATAACTAATTCGAACTATAATAATTTCGAATTCTTGACTTGGACGATTAATCCGAATATTGATTTTTCGAATAATTCCTCAACTTAACTTATTAACTCCGAACTCATTAATTAATAAACGAATCGGTATTAAATCTGGAAACTTATTCGGTTACTTAAATAATTAAACCGAATAATTTATCGACTAATAGTCGAACTTGGAATATGACTGGCTGATTAACTCGAACTTGAACATGAACATGATTATTTATTAACAAATGCTAGCTTAAAACTAAAAGTTAGTATTTTCCTTTATTAATAAAATACGGGGCGTTACACAGTATATTTCCGGACAACTTGTGTATGAAAAGCTTAAAATTTCATGTGTTAGAAAATTAGGGTAAATAGTTAAACATAAGAATTAACAACACACCATGGTTGCAACATACCTGGAGATTGTATTCTGCATTCCGAGATTGCAATGCAATAGCTTTAAGATCCAAATTCCAATTTGCAGTATAAGGGTGTGTTTGGTAAAACTAGCTGATAAGCTAGCTGATAGCTGATAAGCTAGCTGATAGCTTATATGTGATAAGCTAGCTTATAGCTTATAGTTTATGACTTATAGCTTATAAGCTAGCTTATATGATAAAAGTGTTTGGTAAAAGTAGCTTATAAGCTAGCTGAAATAAAAAATTCAACGAGCTTATTTTGAAACGCTACCTAAACAAGCTTATCAAATAAGCTCGAGCTTTTTAAATAAGCTCGTCCTACCAAACAAGGCTTATTTAATACAGGAAGCTTATAAGCTAATCAAATAAGCTATAAGCTAGCTTATATGTCATACCAAACATACCCTTAAATCGACAGTTGATACAACGTTCCTGTTTACAAATTTGATACTTCTATACGAATCACCTTCAACAGGACAAGCCCATGCCATTTTCCAAACATGATAACTTAACCAGTCATTTGAATAGTTGCTACATCCCATTTGCGTGAAAGAAACATTGTAAACCTATTGGCTAGGTTTAGGTTCGAGGAATAAGAATCACAAAATTTGCGAAGTTCTAGTGATAAAAACTTTTTTCCTTCCATTTTCCTTTCCCCTTTTAGCCTTTTGGTTTATTTTGCGGGTATACAGGAAGAGAAAAGCCTCTTTTACTGATGGAAAGCAGACAATGACGCCAATTCAGCTGCGTAACAATACTACACGAAAACAAAATGAAATAAAAATAAATAAAATTCCATGTGCATAACAAAACTCGATTAACCCTCAAACCATTCAACTAACGTTTCAATACACGTATATCATCCATAGACAACAATGTGACAGTACCCAAGTACCCATCACAACCAATACCTGGTAACACTTGTATAAGGGTTCAATCATGTTCTACAGAAGAACAATCACCTCACCTTTCACCTAGTTTTTATCTTCTTCATCAAGTACTCCTCCAAACCAGAACTAATATCCACTATTTTCATGCCCGGCCTGATCTCCACCTTCAAAACCCGTTTCAGGATGTCTCCCGTTGATTCCACATCACCCACCTCGCAAATCCTAGGTATAATCTCAGCCCAAGTGTCCTCATGAGGACTATTCCCATGCCTCAACAACTCAGACAACACGTCACAAGCATCTTCAATTCTCCCGGCTTTACAAAAGCCTCTAACCAGCATATGAAGGACCGAAAAATGAGGACACATCTTCTTGGACACCATCACCTCAACATAACCCTTTGCTTCGTCGTGCATGCCCTGATTGCATAACCCCACGACTATATTCTGATATGACACCAAATTGGGCAGGCACCCCTTGGAAGGCATATCCTCCAGAACCTTACAGGCATCTGCAGCCCGGCCCGCCTTGCAATACCCTGCAATGACCGTGTTGTAATGGACAATGTCCGGATTGCACCCTTTCACTTTCATCCGACAGAGAAGCTTGTAAGCCTCCCTGAGCTTCTTTTTCCTGCACAAGCTATTCAACAAAGTGGTGTAGCTCAAGGTGTCAGGCACAAACCCTTTGTTCAACATATCCTCCAGCAAATCAACAGCTCCGTTCACCTGTGATAGAGTAAAGAGCATAAAATCGTAAACATAAAAATGAAACTGAATTTTATTTAAGTAGCAAGGACCCTGGGAAGAATTCCTGTATCCCCACCCAAAAGGCTCAATACAGAGAATATTTTTGTCCTAAACGTAATCCCATTATTTATATGATAATATTTCTAATTTTATGCCTCTAACGCAGCCATTAATATGCTCAGATTTTTCTAATCAAATATTTTCCCCAAGATCTAGTCAATCAATATTCTACCAGATCTGCATAACAATCAATTATTAGCTCTACTAACCTGGCTCTTCCTGCACAGCCCTTGCATTAGGATTCTGTAAGTCTCCACATCGGGAAGAACATCACGCTTGAACATTTGGTTGAACAAAGTGTACGCAATACTCAGGTCACCGTTCAAACAAAAAGCCCGCATCATGATGTTGTAGGAAACGGTATTGGGGTGGACTCCATGTTTGTGGGCCGACCTGAAAAGGTCGAACGCAGGTTTGAGAAATTTACTGTCGGCAACCAGGATTTCAAGGATGCTATTGAGGTGCTTAGTGCTGGGTTTGATGTTGAATTCGAGAATCGAGTAGAAACTTTTGAGGGCTTTTTCGGGTCGTTTTGCCTCGCCATATATTTTTATGACATGAGAAAAGAGAGATGGAGAAATGGAATAGTTTTTGGTCTTGAGACTAGAGAGGAGGGCCTCCATGTGGGAGAAGTGGCGAGAGTTGCCGAGTTTGAGTAAAAGGGTATGGTAGGCGGCATATGAATGCCGGAAATTCGGCTGTCGCGAAGCTAAGTCGAATATTTCCATGGCGAGGAGTGGGTCTGACTGGGAAGCTATTAGCTTTCGGACCCGAGCGGGAGAACAAATAACAAGGTTTTCACTCTCATGCAAACTTTGACACTTTTCTCTGTATCTGTCATCTGGATCTTGCTTTTGATGATCAAGGGAAGCTGAAGAGTATGGAGAGGACAACGTTTGGAGTTTTGACAAGAAATATGGACTTAGAGATGTCATCCGCTTTTCTCTACAACTGATTGATCTAATTGCAGCAATCAACATTATGGATTTCCACAACCATACAAAGTGAAAGTTAACAATTCCTCTCCTGAGAGGCAAGCTTCAATAGTGTATCGTCTCCTGTTCACATGCATCCCATAAGAAAGCATCATACAACTTTCTCTATACTCTGGAATTTCTCAATCACATCATGTTACGACCCGAAATGTAATAAAGGAAAAATAATATAATACGAGTCTACTTTATGGAGATAAAATTAAAAGATCATGGGACAGAAATGTAAACATCTGAATAAAGATACAAGTTCAAAATAACTCTGGACAAAACTGGAAGATTATTAAGTTGACCCCGAAGAACTCCAGGAGGCAAGCTAAGGAAGGGCAATACTCGCAGCAAGTCGGTAGAGCTAGTCACGATCTGCCTCACCTGTTACAAATCTGAAAGATTTTCGAAAGCGTGGGGTGAACCAAAAGGGTTCAGCAGGTAGGGGGTAGAGAATGCAACCTTTTCAAAAATAATTTTGGAAATATTAAGACGAAGACTTACTATTAAAAATGAATTTTTAAGGACATAGAAATATGTAATATTAGTTTTAAGAGCAAGCGAGCACCTGATGTTCCCAATTTTTAATCTTTTTATTTTTAATTTTTTATGAATGAACATGATATGTACAGATAAATCACAATCAATTTCTAATCAAACTGTTTAACAAATAAAATCAATAAGATATATGTAAGGCATCACCAAATGCTGATCGGACACCGGCACTCACGTCAAAAAGGTGGCACACCGCGATAGGCCGAAGCCTTCTCCTTTCAACCTTACCCTTCTCAAGAGACTCGACATCCCTTGCGCGATGGGCGGAAACCCAGGTGACATCATATCCCAGAATATACCCGTTATACGAGATACGACTCATTCATGTCGATGGATCCAAGCCGACCAGGATATGGGACTAAGTCATACACATTCGAATAATAACCACAGCCCTTCTGCTCGATTATTAACCAAGATACACAAGTCGTTGCACATAATATCAATCAAGTATCAAGCATATGAATTCAAACAAGTCCAAAATTAAATCTCGTGATTAATGCAAATTCAAATATGAAATTATGTCATTCTGGTTTCAAGATGCATGCTCATAAAAAAATTCATTCTTTGTCATTAATCTAGAAGTTAATTCATAAACTATGTTTTTTATCGGATGCAGAAGTTTTATAAAGTTTTTACCTAAAAATAAAATGGCATGCAAACCTTATTTACTGGTCAGCTTCAGGCTCAGCTCAACATCAAAGTACTTCGAAAACCCAAATGTTAGAAAGGAAAGGCACAATGTAGACGGTCAACTACACGGTGGCTTTGTGCAGCGTTCATATTTTCGTTACAACTTTTTCCATAAGATAGATGTTGAGTTGATACCTGAAGGAAAAAAAAAAA